CATGGCTTCTTCTGAAGGAACGAATTCGATGAACCCAATTTTCGAGTCCTTTTTCCGCTGAATCAAGTCATATGTCATAAATAGCACGTTTATTATTGACTTCCAAAGCTTGAAGAGAGTCTGGTTTATTGCTAAAGACCAATGGCATTAAATGACCCCACAAGAAGTAGTGTAATGGTGGTAAATCATAAATTCTTGGATGCCGTTGAATACCACAATTTATTGAAATTATCGAATCTCCAAACTTTTTTTACAATTCGATTTTTGAACGTGCTGTTTTTCAGGTTTTGTTGGAACCAGATGTTTTCAAGATCAACTTCTTCCAATTGCGGCCGTAAAAAGTTGGTTATCATCGATCTATCTCGCTCTCTATTGACAGTAACGGTGTCACAAGCTTCATTTCGAAAGACGTACGGGCCGATGATTCCACCAGACAAAAAACCACACCAAACTGTTAATTTAGGTGAACGTTACGGCTTTTCATGAATAATTTGTGCATTTTCTTCTCACCAGAATCAACAGTTTTGTTTATTTACCGGACCACGCCGAAGAAAGTGAGCCGCATTAATAACCCAACGATTACCCTCCTCCCGCCCAACCGACGCGAAGGGCGCAATCCGCATACGTGCGGCATTAGCCGAGTCAAAAAGGCAAGAGAGTTTTTTAAGTGTTGAGATCTAAAACTGCTCAGCTACAGAAACAAAAATGTCAACAGCTAAGATTTATAGTTACGATATAATAAATTGTTACGTTTTTATTTATTAAGAGAAAGCAATAAAGCCTTTGTAATTTTGAAAAGTGAATCAGATAAGTCAAAGGTGCAAGAATGAGAATTAAGATCATGACATATACGACGGAATGGTCCGATTAGTTCGAAATTTGAAAAGAACTGCAAACTCTTCTATTCAAGATTTTCACTAAGAATATTATGCCAAGCATTTCCCTACGACTAGAAAGTGAAGGTAGATTTATAAGTTTTAAACGACTAGTGTATGGAGGAAAACTTACCCTAGAATCCCATCGGAATGTCCTAATGCGAAAAGCAAAAATTGTTTTGAACAAACTCTAACTTGTCAGAATGGATTTGGTAGCTAGGGTTCCATACAACAGAGCCATATTCCAATATAGGTCTAACCAAAGTTGTATAAAGTGTTTTAGTAATAATAATTATAACCCAACGATTATCCTCCTCTCTCCCAACCGACGCGAGGGGCGCAATCCGCATACGTGCGGAATTAGCCGAGTCAGGAAAGGCAAAAGAGTTTTTAAGTGTTGAGATATAAAACTGCTCAGCTACAGAAACAAAAATTTCAACAGCTAAGATTTATAGTTACAATATAATATGTTGTTACATTTTCATTCATTAAGAAAAAACAATAAAATCTTTTTAATTTTGAAAAGTGAGTCAGATAAGTCAAATGTGCTGCAATGATAATAGGATCTCTAAATTCTTTAGACGTACGTTTAACAAAAATGAGGGCAACTTTTGCGTTCAAGACCATGGTGTCAATATGAAGACAAAAATAAAGCTTAGGGTCCATATTAACTCCCAAATCAACATAGTTAAAAACTTGCTCTATGGTTTTTTATTACATACGGAGAGGTGTGCACATATCTACGGGGAAAAGCACATCGTCTTACATTTCTTAAGATTCAAATGCAAATCATTTAAAACTACTGCAAACCACCAAATTATTTAAGTCTGTTTGCAACAGACACCTTTCTTCAGTTGAAGTGTATGATTTAAACAACTCTAAGTCGTCGGCGTATAATAAAATTTTTGACAATGCTATTACAGAAGAGATATAATAATTCAAGAACAGAATCGGGCCAAAATGACTACCTTCCGGAACACCTGAAGAGACATTAATTGAATCTGAAAGGGTATCATCAAATATCACTCGTATGTACGAGAGTATTTTTATTTACTTTTATCGAAAGCTTTGCTAAAGTCTGTGTATATAACATCCGTATGCTTATGTTCCCTAAAACCCAATTATACATGGTTTACAAATACAAGAACATTTTTTTGAGGCGATTTCCCTTTACAAAATCCACGCTGAGCAAAAGAAATTAACGAAGGAATTGAAAAAGTTATATGGTATGAGATGATAGCTTAAAAAGTTTAGGTATAACTGATAGTTTTTCAATATCCCTATATATATTATATAATATAACATAGTTTTCAATGTTGGACCTAAATCACCTTTTATCCAAAGGGATTATAAATCACTGTTTCTATATTGAAGGAAATATAACGTGTTTAAGAGAGGAATTAAATATCCATGTCAAAGGCAAGTAAGTATATTTGGCACTATGTTTTAGGGAGCATGAGGGTATCATGTCTGGGCCGTAACTAAGAGATGGTTTTAACTTATTTAAAGTAAGTAGGTCTTCTTCAGAAATAATTGGAGCGTTAATTAAAGTATTCGAACACAGCGCTTACTGAGAGGAAAAAGTTTTAGGAGAATTATTACAGTAGTTTGACTTGAAAAGTTCTGCAAACATATTGAATGTAATGTCATTGTCACTTGAAATGATAAATTGTAATTCATCGCGGACGGAAATTTGGAAATCCTGCTTTTGGAGTTAACGAAATCATAAAACGATTTTGGATTACGTACAATATTAATTTTTACCTAATTTAAGTAATTATTATTTTTTGTTTAGGTCAAAATTCTGTCGCCGCAATACAGAATAGTCGACAGGTGAAGCGGTTTTTTTTAATGTTTAAGGACCTGAGTTTTTCTGTTTTCAATTTTTATACTCTTTCGAAAACCACGGGCCTGTACTTTTACTTTTATTAACAATGACTATTGAACATACTTTTATCATAATTTCTAGTAATATTATTAAATGAGAGACACTCAATTCAATATTACTATTATAATTACGCCATGTTATCGTAGAAAGTTCGCTATTTAACTTTTTAAAATTAACTTTGCAAAGTTAAACCGAGTACAGAAGCCAGAAGTTTGATGATTACCCGTACATTGCCTATGATTTCGACAGATATTTCAAAGCAGGATGATACGAGTCCTCAGGTAGAACAAGAGGACTACTCTGAATAACGGAACACTTGAAAGAGATATTAACGTATACTAAATCTAAGCCTTTACCAAATTTATTCGGAATCAAATTAATTTGATTCAGACCCAACTCGGACATTTTTCGAAAAAATCATTAAAACATGACCGATTGCAAATCAGTACGATATAGTCATCGAAAGCTTTCCACGAGGACTCGGTAAATTGAAATCCCCTAAAAGATTATTGAATCTGCATTATTATATCGAGGTAGTACTATTTATTAAAGAATCGGGGTTGTATATAAGAAGGGTTAAATAAATAAAGCAACTATTAACTAGACTCTAATACATTTCTATTCAAATGAGTCAGTTCCTGGAACGAGAACATCTTCAGATGTGATAGAGGAATGCACGGCAAATAGAACACCTCCTCCAAATCTGTTCAGTCGATCACATCTAAATATTTGATATTCGCTGTTTAAAATCTCATTATCAAAAATGTGAGGTTTTAACCATGCTTCTGTAAATCCAATTATATGGAAATTAAAATTGGACTGTTTAAATACAAGTCGTTAATTTTGTATTAAGACCTCGAACATTTTGATATTGTAATAAATGCTTAATGAATTTTATCAATCAGTTTTTTATGTCAGTGGTTGCTTTTGGTAATTTAACAATGTTTTCCTCAGTATGACTTCTAAGTTTAGGCTTTAATTCGCGTGCAAAAGCTCCTGGTGACCAAAATGAGCTATCTAAGATCTTTTGAAGGTTTCAAGAGAAACGTCTATTTTAAACGATGATAATACTTCTTTCATAACTGAAGTTAAACTTACGGATATTGATATCATCAATTTTTAAGCGCGACGAAATGTTAGACTGTCGTCCACCGAGGTATCCTTGGCAAGTCTAGAAGTACTAATATGCTTCTAATTAGGGGAAGCCCTGGAATTGTGAGACTCTTAATCATTTTAGCTGAAGCTTGTGGGAAATTCAGCTCTTTTGAGGTTGACGGCTTATCACCTTGAGGGCAAGGAGGAGAATATATATAAGGTCCATTGCAGGAGACGTACTCTTCTGTGCAGAAGAACTAAGTACTGTATTACTTCACGGACGGGCGTTTACGCTTAGGAGCAGGTTTGGAGGATTAGTGAGAATCATTCAGGCACTTAAAAGATTTAAACAATTTTTGTAGTGCCTAAATTTTGCGGTGAGGGTTTCAAGATCTCGACCGATTTCATTAAAGCCATTGCGTGTCTGCTTATAAACTTTAAATAGATTAGATTAAGAGATATATATAAGGTCCATTGCAGGAGACGTACTCTTCTGTGCAGAAGAACTAAGTACTTGTATTACTTCATCGGACGGGCATTTACGCTTAGGAGCAGGTTTGGAGGATTAGTGAGAATCATTCAGGCACTTAAAAGATTTAAACAATTTTTGTAGTGCCTAAATTTTGCGGTGAGGGTTTCAAGATCTCGACCGATTTCATTAAAGCCATTGCGTGTCTGCTTATAAACTTTAAATAGATAGATTTCAATCGAGTTACAATTTGAACAGGACCAACGCAATCCCTTGCAATCGATAAAAGAATCTAAGATTTTACCAGTCAGTCCAGCACATTTTATATGGGCAAGCCCATCACAAAGGCAACATGAAACATAGCGATCAGACTCGCCTTTATGTTACAGTTGGCGTGTAACTTCCCATAGACATAGTAAACAACAAAGAATATATAATAAATTAGGATGTTAATATAATATTAATAATAACAAATAAAATTAAAAACGAACGCATAAAAATTAAATCAAAACCAAGAGTTAGAAAAAAAATATAGTTAGCAGTTTTAGATGTACTAGAACAAATAAAAAACTACACACAACACAGCTGTGAATAGGGAAGTATATGAGATAAATAAAGAGAGAAAATAAAATAAAACAAAGCAGAACATAAAACAAAATGAAACAAAGATTGACCCGACAACAAAATTTAAGTTAATACACAAAACTTAAAAACACTTAGCTTGCAATTAAAAATCAAATCACTAAATTTTCATCAAATCAGTTTTATTCGGATGCAAGCCCAAATCCTTTTAAGTCCCCCAAGTTGTGGTTTGAGACAGTCCCAATTCTTCAGAACGTCTTGGAATCGACAACTTTCCGAACGGTAGCGATATCTTCATTACTTCGAGCGGTTCTTTGTGGCACTAGAACAATATGTAAAGAAAATGTACGCTCAAAATTTTCAACAATTCGACGAATAGCGGGCACAGGTGAACGATTATTACGACCATGAAAAGTTGCAATTGAAAAACGATTAATTTGATAATAAAATTGAATAATATGTATACGTTGTTCTTGCGTATATCTTTCTATGATGAAATTGTAAACATTACTGAATGCAATGAAAAAAATTACAAATCATGATATATGTATATATCTGGCCAAAACGATACTTAAAAATCATATCATCCCTGTTTGAAAACCCGATAGTTATAGGAAGAAGTAATAAGTGTAAGCAGTTATAGCACTTTGTTGGTTTTCGATTAACGTGTCAATAGTTCGATCCCACCCATATGCTATCTCTAACCATTGTGAACATGTACCAAGTTTTATGAAGATATCTCAATTTTTTTCTCAAGTTATCACTTGTAGGGATAGACTGGGGGACAAACAGTCACTTGGAATTTTAGTTTTGCCTTCAATAACAACCAATGGCAGTACAGCATCACTTCATTGATTAACAGAGGAAATAAGGAAAATTAATAAACGCAAAACCCAATTGCTTCACACAATACTTCTTTCATCCGGTTTTTACTAAATGTATATGTAACTTACGTTAGGAACGCCAATGTATATGGTTAGTAACATGGATAGTTGCTTTTTCTAAAATAAATACTTTTAAGTTGGGATGTTCGTTTTTTTTATTGAAAAGCGCACACCCATTAGTTATGTTTAAAATAAAGTCAATTCCCTTTAAAAAAAGATAAAGTTGAAAAGCCAAAGATTGAAGTCTGAAAATTAATCTCAACAGAATAGGGAAAGTCGTCTTAGGAATTGTAGATTACGGATGCCCATGTTTAGGTCTAATAAGAGTAGTTCGGAGAAAAAGAAATGATTCAACGTCATTCATTTAGGAAAGTAGAGATCAGCATCTAGAAAACGATCGTACGCTATCTCACCCAGCTTAGAATCAATTGAATAAAGAGAAAAGCGATTAGAAAAAGATAATATTCGACACGCTGTCTCACGAAGCCAAGAATCATCTGATTCTAGAGAGCAAAGAATATAGAATGATCGCCGTTATCACTAAAATAAACATAAATTGGAAAGTCGTAAACAGCATGACATTCGAGTCAGAACATTGCGATCGATATCATAAGTCACAAGGAAAAAGTATCGAGCGTATATCTCAGCTCTGTGAAAGTGTGAGTATTATTCGTCAGTCACAAACGAATTTTGGTCGAGGATGGCGTCTGGATACTGGCATACAAACGACAAAATCTCTGCGGAATATTGAAAGTGAAGCCAACCGACAACGACAAAATAACGGCCAAATAAGAGCTAATAGTCGTTATATTCCATGGCGAGAAATAAATAACGTTGAGTTCAAATAAAATATTCTGCTGCGTCTGACATACATATCTATGTAGGTCATATGAGTGTATGTTACAACTACTGTAAACCTCTAAGGTGGAAAAATTAGTCAAATGTCATTTGTTGTTCGTCTGGAAAAGGTCGCTTGAACTATATTCAGCGAACTCCTAAAACGCTTAAGTCTTTATTATGCAGCCCAATTTGGTGTTCTCCTTTAGTTGTTTTATTATGCACCATGTTGATGTCACAACATGATCCACCAATATTTTTCCATTGTCTACTTGAATGGTTCTTAGTGATCACTTCGAGTTAATAATATAAATCAGAAATCAAGCATATTTTTCGAAAAAATAAAGCCAATCGAGAGAACTACAAAGATCTTTGCTCATCAATATCTTGTAAATTTATTGTTTCTATTAACATTAACCAAAAGGCTGCACTTATTGGAAAAATAATGTGGTCGTCAGCGCCTACCATACCTTAATCCAAGAATTCATGTCAACACTGATACATACCGGGGTGGAATAGTTAGAAAATCATAGATCACAAAAACAGAAAAATTGGTATTAGCAAAAAAAAAACTCCCAACCTTTTAACTTAAAATTGCGAGAATGCTATTTTTGAACGACAACCCAAAAAGGGCAAATCAATATTTTCCGTTCTCAACAGATTTGGCAATATACCTATCAGACGTCTGTCTGGCACAAAAAAAAATATGACAATGAATTAATTAAACACTCAAGATGGGTTGTTTTAATATTCCATAAGTAAATAAAATATAAATAGTTACCCTAAATATTAAACGACTCTGCAAGCGTTCGAGTGTAGCGAATCGGACGTTTCCTATAAACAATTACATATATTTTATTTGATATACATATTAAATTTCAAAAATCATAATTTACAAAAATTGGTCAAAAATATGTAAACGAAACTTAGTTGCATTGAAGACAGCGTGCCACTTCAAAGAAGTAGATTATTATCAGAATTCAGTACTTTGATAAGTCTCTAAATTTGAAATTTTAGAATAAAGAAACTTTTTGTGAATTAAGAGGATTTTGCAATTGAATACGTAACAGTCAAAAAAATATTTCAATTGAAAAAGAACAAATCTAACAGCTGTTACATTTCGTTATTTAGAGATGTACACATATAAAATCTGAAAAAAAATAAAAAAGTCGATAAGAATATTGTGACGAACACGGTTGATAGAACAAAATCGAATCAATGATAAACTGCCAGAAGCAACTAGACAGCGAATTCGTAGTTGCCAGAATGTTCTAGTAGTAAAGTAGTTAGCGAATTCGTAGTGGCCACAATGTTCTAGAAGCAATGTTTTGTTACAGATTTACTATACAAAGGCTGCCGGATTGTGCAGCAAACACAGTTCTAGTTAGAGTGTTGTCGTGATAAGAGCAATCAAGCTATAAGCAAGAAGTTGTAAGCTCGAAAAATGAGCAATAAGTGTTAAGTTGTTGGAATTAGAAATAAAGATAAGTGTGTAGCCATTAAATTGGGACCTTTATTTAACAATCCAGTGATCGAATTCAAGAGTGAGTTACAGGTAGACGATTTATCGAGAAATCCGTTACAATATTAAATTTTCTATAACGTATTCAAAAAGCATAATTACCAATAAAATTTAAAATAAAATGTTGATTCGAAATCACAATAGTTACGAATTATTTGAAATTAATATTTGTTTAAGGTTACGTGTTGAGTTTCTTCAAAATATAAAAACCGACCTCTATAAGTGAAGAGTCAGTTTATTCAAAATGGAAAACAAAAACTTAGTTTTGTAACCTGCTTACTATCAGGTGACAAATTTGAGACAGTCAGGGGTGTAGTGGAATCCAAAACAGATTAGCTTAGTTGGTAAATTGCAAACCAATTCTGATTTTTAATGGTGTCACAGAATTTTATTGGATTTTCGTCTTTTCGAACATATGTAAAACCAATATTCGAATCAGCTGTTTACTAATGTGACAAGACTTGAAAATGAATAATATTGGAAACGTTTGATAAATTTAAAATACTAAATAAAGTCTACTAAAATATACAATGAGTTCCGCTATTTTACGTTTAGGTATGTTTGTATAAAAGACGCATTTGGGTGTTAAATTACGTTTATTATGTTTTGTAAATGTTTCTAGATGTCCTTATTTGACATGGTTGCATCGTTTAACCACAGTTACAAGTTGGCATATATATAAATGTTAATTATTCTGGAATTTGCAAATAAGACTCGCTCCTTTAAGAATATATATTAAAACTAGAAGCCCGACAGACGTTGTCCAGTATTACGTAACAATTAGACCGTTTTGATGAAAATTTTTATTAGAAACTTATTACAATATCTAACTATCAGAATCCGACCAATCGATAGCGTGTCAATATGTATATTAGAATGCATTCAGAGATGTTAATTGTAGAAGATGTATTGAATGAAAACTTGAAGTCGTTTTAATTGAGTGTGAAAAGGATGAATCTATTCTATAACGGGTATTTATTCTTAGAGGTAATAATCTACAAAAACTGAAGTTATCGTAATACCATAGGATGTACAATATTATTAATCCTTAATCCTCCGCGAGAAAAAACTGTCTGCCGGATTTCTATGTAAAACGTTCTAACATCTGCGATGGTAGCGCAGTCTACCGGAACCAGTGTAATACATTCCAAAATTCACAACTACTTATAAATGAAAAATTAGTTAAATAAACATTTTCCAGTGGACCAAATTGCGAATCTAAACCATCCTTGAATCCCCTTGAACTCACACAAAGCATTTCATCAAAAGCGGTCCAACCGTCGAGGAGTTCAGTGACATACACACTTACACAATAAACCAATATGTTTGACAATTTTTCATTAATTTAAAAAAAAAAATAACTATTTTCCGGTCAAAAGTTGGCCATCTTGGATGCCAATAGAAACTCAAAGCGGACTTGATTTTTCTTCATGCACATGTTGTTGTTGTTGTTGTTGTTGCTGTTATAACGATTATCTAATCCCCGTTTGGGTGATAAATTCTAGATGCGTTGTCGTCGAGGTCATCTAACGGAAGGCCCAGGAAACGAGCTGTTTCGACGGGGTCGGACCATAGGGAGAGGGGTGTTAGATGAGTGGGGTTTGTTGGGCATGCAAAGAGGTGGTTAGTGTCATGCGGAGACTCATTGCATGCAGGACATGTGTTTGGTATGTCAGGGTCTATTCTGGATAGGTAGGAGTTTAACCTGCTACAGTATCCAGAACGAAGTTGCGCGAGGGTCACTCTAGATTCGCGAGGCAACTCGAGCTCTGTGTCTGCATTGGGTGGTGGTTTGACTCGTATTACGCCATTCACTGAGAGGGAGTCGGTGAAGGTGTTAATGGCTCCACTGTGAATGGCGGTCAGTGCCTGTCTGAAGTTAGTTGCGTCCGAAGTCTGGTCGGCGTGCTGTCTGATGTCGTCGACGTAGTCAAGGAAGGACCTCTTGATGTTCCTAGGAGGCTGCTCCGCTGCAAGCAGGCGTCTGCAGGGGTGGTTTCTGCGAAAACATCCCAGCAGAAACTGCTTGGAGAGGAGCTCGTTATGTTCCTTAACCGGAAGCATACGGGCCTCGCTATGTAGGTGTTCGATTGGGGACATCAAGAGGCACCCCGTGATAGTCCGGAGTGCAGTGTTCTGACAAGTCTGAAGCTTCTTATTCTGCGTGTCACTGCATCCAGGCGACCATATTGCGGCTGCATAATTGAGGACCGGCCGGCCGATTGCCTTGTATGTTGCCAACAACGTTTCTTTGTCTTTTCCCCATGAGCTGCCGGCAAGCGACTTGAGGATTTTGTTGCGGCTCTGTACTTTGGCAGTTATCGCGGTCGTATGAGGAGTGAAAGAGCACAGACTGTCCAAAGTGACGCCTAAAATTTTAGGGTTATTTACTGTCGGAATTTTTGTGCCATCGACTGAAATGTTCAGGTCCAGTTTGTACTCCTTCGTCCAATTGGTGAAGATGGTCGCTGTGGATTTAGTGGAGGAGAGTGTTAAGTTCCTTGCAGAAAAGAAGCGAGAAAGATCGGAGAGGTAGCCGTTTACTTTTGAACACATGCCATCGATTCCATTGCCCGACGTCAATATCGTACAGTCATCTGCGTACGAGGTCATTGAAATTCCCGCTGGTGGCTGGGAGAGTTTTGAAATGTAGAAATTAAACAGTAGCGGGGAGAGGACACCGCCCTGCGGAACCCCCTGTTTAATTTTCCTGAGTTTGGAGTTTTGACCTCGGAATAGTACGGATGAGTGTCGACCGCTCAGGTAGTTCATGGTCCACCGCTTCAGCCCTGGAGGAGGCGTTGATTGTTCCAGGTCCTCAAGTAGCGTCGCGTGATTGACTGTGTCAAAAGATTTTGACAAGTCCAACGATACGAGGATCGTCTTTTCGCAGGGTGGCTTCTGGTTCAGGCCATGAACTATCTGGGCGTTTATGACGCTAAGCGCTGTGGTGGTACTGTGCACTTTACGGAAGCCATGCTGATGGTCTGCTAGGCTCAGGTGGTGGGTGAATGACGGGAGAACAAGGCCTCAAGTGTATTCACTACTGGGGAAAGGAGAGTTATCGGGCGATAAGACTCCCCTTTGTTGGCGGGTTTCCCAGGTTTCAGCAGTGGGACCACTCTTCCGACTTTCCACACATCGGGTATTTGAAGAGTGGATATCGACAGGTTGAGGACCTTGGTGAGGTAGTTTACTCCCGTTGGGCCTAGATGTTTTAACATCAGCATGCTTATTCCGTCAGGGCCGATGGATTTAGACGATTTCGCCTTTTTGATGACACTCTGAACCTCCCCATCGGTGAAAGTAAGTGGTGCGCAGTCTTTTGGCATTTTGCGCAGCCGTCGGGTAACACATCGTTTGGCCTTGTCGGTCGAAGGGTGCAGTATAAACTGCCGGCTAAAGTAGTTCGCGCACCTCTTCAGGTCCGAGGAGGCATGGCCATCGAATTGAATTTCAACCCGATCGTCATGTTTCCTCGGATTTGACAGGGCCTTGACAGTAGTCCAAAGCTTACTCACACCGGTGGAGAGGTTGCAGGACTTCAGGTGCTCTATCCATTTTGTCCGCTTATGATGGTTTACCATTTGCCGAATCTCCAAATTGAGATCCCTTATTCGGGGATCACAGGCATCGGCATGGCGTAAGGTGTCGCGCTCATTTGCTAATACAGCTGCTTCGGCTGGGAAATTAGGGCGGAGTTCCGCTATTCTTCCAGCCGGTATGAAGCGAGCTGTAGCAGCAGCGATCACCTTGCGGAATTGACGCTCGCCAACGATGACGTCCGTAGGAATGGATAGTGCGTTGAACGTGCTCTCAGTAAATTCTGTGAAGCCGACCCAGTTAGCTTTGTTAAAGTTAACATAGGTGCGGTTATCCACAGAAATAAAGTCAGGAGGTTTCTCGATCGAGATAATTATGGGCAGATGGTCTGATGCAAGAGTTAGCATAGGTCGCCAGGTTATACTATTTATCAGACCACCGCTAGCGATGGTAATATCTGGCGAGCTGTTACAGGTGCCCATAATTCTGGTGGTTGCTTCGTCGTTCATTGTGCAGAATGTCGAATCGTCTATCTGTTCCGCCAGCTCCATCCCCCTACGATCGTTTGACAGGCAGGAATGCTAAAGATCGTGATGCGCGTTAAAGTCGCCTAGCACCAGACGGTTTTCACCACGAAGTAGCGCATCTATATTCGGGTGATATCCTGTTGGGCAACATGTAACTGGGGGGATGTATATATTAAATATTTCGAGCTCGACATCGCCTGACCGGACAGCTATACCCTGACATTCTAGGGTGGTGTCCCTGCGGTCGATGTCAACATCGATTAGACGATTGTGCACGGTGTTGTGCAATATGAAGGCTAGGCCTCCACCATTATACCTCTCGCGATCCTTATGTAAAACGTTGTAACCTGCACAACTCAGAAGATCTGAGCGGCTGTTTAACTTGGTTTCTTGGACCGCAGCTATCGTTACGCGCTCCCGGCTCATAAATGCAACTATCTCCTCGATCTTGCTCTGGAGTCCGTTGCAGTTAAATTGTAAGAGGCGCGTTTGTCGCGGGTGTCCAGTCGTGATCCTAGGGGTGAGTGGGGTGCGTGTAAGCGGTGGTTGTTGCAGCTGTGCTATCCGC